TTTTGCTTCGCTTTGGCGATTTCTTTTTTTCTTCTTTGAGGATCAAGTTTTGCTTTATGCAATCTTTTGTTGTGTGTATTTTCAAAACCGAGTTGGATTGTTTCTTCATATTCCTTATCTTCTCCTACTCTATCTTTGAAATTAAATAAAGTTAACCTCCTATTTCACAACAAAATACATATCCCGTTTTTTTTGTGTTTGGGTTTCTTTTCCGAGGAATTGGGGCCTATCGCAATAGAAAAAAAAATAATTGGGTCAGTAGATATAAACCCTCACAGACACTCTCACACCGTTACTTTTATACATTATTACTATATTGTCTTTTAATTCAACCGCTTTCACCGGCTGACAAAAAAATTCTTAAATTATTCAATTGGTTTATGACTGTAAATCGTGTTTTACCCCACTCCACCAATTACTTCAAGATTCCCTGTAACTTCTACGCAAATGAACCGTCTCTGAAAACACCACCACTTAATCCCTAGAAACCACCAGTATCTCCGTAGAAACCGTCGTCTTCTCTGCGACATTCATAGCTACTGTCCATCGTTGCCCTCGGCTCAAGTGAAACGTCTCGGAGAACACGGCAACTTCATCCCGCCAATTCGTCTTTCTCTCCCAAATTATTCGTCTCTGTCGTCTTACGCACCTTCCCCATCTCCTCCGGTACTTGAATTGTAAGTTTCCTCTGTCTCTACTCCGCGTCCCCAAAAATGTAAGTTCTCTCTTTCTTCTGTTCACTCTCCTCTTAGTTTCGTATTATTCCTCTGTACAATTGGGTTTCCCACTGCATGTACAGTTCTCTCGTTGTCATAAGTAGATCCATACCTGTTTGGTGTATTCCACTTTAAATGGAATAGAAATTCATAAAATTCCAGACCTTTGGCGATTTTCTATGTTATTTACTGTTCTTACCGACATGAAAAAACTAAAATTCCAGACCTTTGCATATTCTATTTGAAATAGAATAGAAAATATTATATGTTAAAACTATTCTATTTGAGATAGAATCGATTGATAAACTATTCTATTTGAGATAAAGTTGCATGATATGTATTGAATACACTACCGTTCTTCATTATTGTAATGTTTTAGATATAAAAAGTTCGTTTCTATATAAAATACGATGGATTACTATGTTATAACCATGTTTTCCGCTTACTTTGTTTTTCAAGTTTAGCAAAGAAGAATTAGGCCTTCAAGTAGAGTGTCTGAGACAAAATTATAACCATGTTTACCTCTTATACTCTGTTCTTCAGTTTGGCATGGACTCAATTGTTGTGAAATAGTTGACTTTTACTGACATGAAAAGACTAAGGTCTTGCGCGAGAGAAGAGAACCGGAAGAGCTTTTAATCTTGTTGTTGTTGTTTCATGTTTTATTGACATAAGTTTTGTATCAGTACATATATATGTGTTTTATATTAGTGTGTATATGATTTTGTAAAGAGAAACAATATTTTGGACGTAAAGATTAGCATTTCAACATAAGAAAGGGGTTAATCGCCAATGTATTAGGGTTTATATTGTCTTAATTTTTGTTTAGTGGTTAGCGTCCATACCCTTTTAATTGACAATTTATGGGGTTTATACAAAAGTATGAGATTAAGGTGAGAATATGAAAAAGATTATCATAAAGAAGGGGTTTAATCGGCAATGGATTGGGGTTTATATTTTTTTAATATTTGTTTAGTGATTAGCGTTCATAGCATTTTAAATGCGGTTTATAATTTGATAGCATTTTAACATAAGAAAGGGGTTAACCGCCAATGTATTAGGGTTTATATTTTCTTAATTTTTATTTAGTGATTAGCGTCCATAACTTTTTAAATGACAATGTACTAGTCACTTTCCTAACCTACCTTCTAATACCGTATGTAGTAATCCTAATTAATTAAAAAAACGGAATGGAACATATGAATACAAAAACAGAATGGAATGGATGATCTAGTTATAATGGAACAAAAATAGGTAAATTATTTGAAGATTATCTAAGAAAGGGGTTAATCGTTAATGGATTGGGGTTTATATTTTCTTAATTTTTGTTTAGTGATTAGCGTCCATAGCATTTTTAAATGGGGTTTATATTTCCATAGCATTTTAACATAAGAAAAGGGTTAATCTCCAATGTACTAGTGTTTATATTTTCTTAATTGTTGTTAGTTATTTTCTTAATTGTCTTTTAAATGAAAATTTATGGGGTTTATACAAAAAAGTAAATGGGGCACTAAAAGAAAGAGATTAAGGTGAGAAAAGAAAAAAATTAACCTAATTCCTAATTCACCTACTAATACTGTATGTTGTAAGCCTACTTAATAGAATAACGGAATGAAACATATGTATATAAAAACGGAATGGAAGGGATGACCTATGTAGAATGGAACAGAAATAGTTAACCTGTTTCTCTATGCGATTCATACGTTTGGTGATTTAACTCACCAACAGTTAACGAACACGTCATTTAATTTTATACCTTGTAACTGGATACCTGTTAGTGGAAAGGATAATACCGAATAAAAAAGAGGCTAAATGTCAAAAACTGCATTACATCAACATCAATATTACATACTTAACATACATTCCAGATTTGGCTACTTAACATACATTCCAGATTTGACTACTTCGCTAGTAAGCTCTTTCTTTGAGGAATGGAAGATGTGGTGTTGGATTTGTTCTTGGTTGAATCCTATAGAGATTTAGATAAGCCGGCATCTCTTTAATGGTCCGACAATAGTCTCTTATTGATTTGCCGAGCTCGCCCTGACTTATCATCTATTGGAGGCTGAGTTCTCAAGCTTAAACGATGGTTTGAGTGAAATATGGAGTTCGATTGGTATCGGATTTCAAGACTTGGAAAGAAAGCATTACTAGCGGAGGAAATATACTAGCTCGCCGTTTCTGGTGAGAAAATCATGAAGATAGAGAAACGTGTTGGTTGTTCACCGTGACAGAAGTTTAGCGGCGGCCAAGAATTGCCGTCTCAGGCATGAATAGCGTTAAGAAGACATGTGTCCTGGTGAAGAAGTAACTGTCAGCACGTGGACATAATACTCAGCACTTTCACCGCTTCACTATTTGAGCTTTTAAGTTTGTTAATTCTAATGGGTCTGTATCCAAAATCAATGTAATGTGTCCATTTGGGCTATTTCAGTGGAAACAATGTTGACTAAACATAGATATATATATTGACTGATATTTACTTTGGGCAATTCTCCCTAGTAGCCCTTTTAAAGTTTTTGTCTCCAAACTAACATTAGAAGGGAAAAGTCACAAAAATAGCCTTTATTAATGGACAAAATGTCTCTAATACCCTCATTCGATAAAACAGCTAACTAAAAAAAAAACTCGGCGTTCGCTTATCTCTCACCATCTCCTACGACCTAATCTCTCCGGCGAAGACCAAATCTTCGCCTCTCGGATCTCTCTCGTCTCCGCCTCTCGGATCTCTCTCGTCTCTGCCTTTCGAATCTTTAGACGTCTCCGTTTATTGATTCCTCGTCGACGCTCTCTCTTCCGGCCGCGCTTCGTATCACTGCGTTGATGTTCGTGATAAGCCTCAGATCGTTAAAGGTTTGTTTTCGTTACTTAACGTTTTGGATCGTGGAAGAGAATGAGATTTAGGTTTTTGATTTGTTAACATTTGCTATTGTTGATTTTGCAGTTACTGAAGGTTCGTATGTTGTGTTCTACATGGGAGATGATGATTTACGTTCTCATGATTACTTTTATTGTTACAAGGTTTTAGTTCAAGGTATAAAGGACTTTTACTCGTTTTTTATATCATTATCATTGTAGAATTTGTGTGTTTAAATCGAGATTTTTTTTACTCCAATGGTGACGAGGAATGTGATATCTGCTTGTTGTGAATCTGGAGTTAGAAAACTTATATACAACACAGTACTGCTGATGTTGTTTTTGATGGTTCTGAAGCTATTCGTGATGGTGATGAATCATTGAGACTTCCTTTGAAGGTAATCCCTGAGGATGATTTTTTTTTTGTTTCCTTTTGGTTTTTGTTTAGGAATGATATATGTTTTGCTCTGTTTATGTTGCAGTTCTCATCCATGTTGACAGACTTTAAAGCTCAAGCGGAAGCGTTGATTAAGTTTGCTAACAACCGTGATGGTCTCTTAACGTGTGCACTTCGCTCTAGTACTGTGTTTGGACCTGGTGACACGGAGTTTGTCCCTTTCCTTGTGAATCTAGCTAAATCCGGATATGCGAAGGTTTGACTATATTTTATCCTGTTATTGTGTTGATGTTTGTATTGCTTGATCACGTTATCATGAGAATCTCTTTGTGATGTATCAGAGACTTCGTCAGAGATACGTTACCATTTTATGAGGCCTTCTACTTTTTCAATATTTCAGTTTAAAATCGGAAATGGTGAAAATATGTCTGATGTCATTGTGTTCCAGGTAATTCACATCAACAACCAAGAAGCAATGACCTTTGCTCTGTTTTTATATGAATTTTATTTTATTTTTATTTTTACTTATGAACTCTTTTTGTTTTTTTAGTCTGCGACATATGGGAAAGTTTTGGTTTTGGATGGAGTTATGTTTACAGCGTTTGGCTCTTAAACGGTTAATTGATGTAAGTATGGGAGTCATAACAGCTTTATCATAGCAACTCACAAAGCCATTGCCCAATGCAATGGTTCTTGTCAACCTCAAGGAACTTTCTGGTGGTGCTTACATGTTTAGAATCATCTGTTAGTATTATCATAAGTGTACTGTGGTTGAGCCTAGTGATGGAGTTGCTTTGGCGAATTATGGTAGATTGGTGATGAAGCTTCACAAGGATGAAGCTAAAGCATTAAGCTACTTTGAACGCGCTGTTCAAGCATCTCCTGAGGATAGGATCTGTTTGAACATTCTTCATCTTGGTGAAATAATTGGTTATTTACTCAAACCCTGATCAGTGTGTGTATGTGTTTTTCTTCTTCTTTGTTTAGCAATGTTCTTGGGGCAAATGCTAGTTTCCTGTGGGAGATAAATGATGAGGACGACGGTTAGGTTGGTGAGTCTTTCGGAGACAGAACTCAGCAAGGAAAAGAAGACTTTCAGGTATCTATCTCCACCTTTTATATTAGCCTTCACATTCATTCTTGTGGACATGGTAGCTCAAAGTAGTAGGCTTTATAGGGATTTGAGTTTGTGGTAATTCATAGGCTTTTCAGTTTGAAGGCATTAATGTCGAGTTTTGATTTTGTACAGCCTGAGGGAGGGGAAAAACGCAGCTCAAGGTTGTCTGAAACGGTAGATGGAGAAACGCTGTGCAGATATGCGAAGGCGTTTTGGAGTATTACAAGGAGAAGGCCTTGTTCTATTTCGAGAAGGCCGTTGAAGCCTCTCCAAATGACAGGTAGCAGTTACAAGTATGAATTAAATCTCTCTTTACACAAACTCTTACTGAAAATGTGATCATCTTCTTCTTTTGTGTTTGGCCATCAGCATTATACTTGGAGAGTACGCTCGGTTCCTATGGGAAATCGAAGAATGATGATAAAGATATCTCTAAAGTCTCCACGTCCATAAGATCTCCTTTGTAAAGAAAAAGCTATTATTATATTAGCTTTATGCTAATGCAGTTTCACTCATTTGCTTTAATGTCTTGTGTATTCTCAGAATCCTTTAATATCTCTTGCGTGTTCAAACGTTTTTTGAAGAATAAACCTAATCAATGTAATGTAAATGCTTGGACCTACTTTATCTCACATAGTTATAATGAACTAGACTAGTGGTCAATTTAAGTATAAAGAATGGAAACTATAGTTATGGACCTTAAGGTACTGTGTAGCTGGCCAGATGAAATAGTTAGTGTAACTGTTGAGAATAAACAAAATCATTTTTCTTCACATATTTTTTGGAAGTATTTTTTTAACATTTGAATGGTTCGTGCATCAACCACAAAACCTTTACCCTCCAAGAATCTGAACTAGCAAGAACAAAATAAAACATAACAATGTTTAGATGATTAGAATCATATATTAGTATCCAACACATAAACATATTTACTTTAGTTGTATATACATGTTTTCTAGAAAAACTTGGAAGGCATTTGGCAATTATTGGATGGGCTTCCAGAAAATAATTCTGCTTCCTAAAGCTATCAAATCCGCGGGACATGTGACTTTCATGTAAGAGTAGTGTTTTAGCTGCTAGGATGAGGAGAATCATCTGTTAGTATCGAACACATAAATATATTTAAACCTCACTATATAAACAAGTTTTCTAAAAAAAACTTGGAAGGCATTTGACAATTTCTGGATGGGCTTCCAAAAATAATTCTGAAATTGGAAAAGAATTTAGCGTGTCCAGGATGTGCTTTTGGCTCGATCCACAATGAACTTTGCCCATGCAATAGCTTCTTTCTCGCTTTCTTCTTCTCTTCCCTTTTTAGTCCCGTCATTCTCCAGAACTCCAGCTTTTCCGTCCTTTCTTTCATCTGCAATTTTTAAACATGAAAACCGGTCTATAATTTTTAAACAGTTCTTACTTCCTATTATTGGGTGTATACATTTACCAAAGTACATATCAACTATTCATGATAGCATATAAAAATATTTAGGATGAATTTTCAGAAAACGTGAGTAAATGTGCAAGTAGTTAAATCTTAACCATGGAGATGAGCGTAACCATTAACCTATGTTTCTATCAAGTGAAAAGCATTAACATGTTTTTTTCCTCTCTCTTTGTATATTTAGCTAATTTTGGAAGGATTTGTGTAGTTTCAGGAACGCTTTCCAGAAAATTTGATGTAAATAAATTTGATTTTTTTATGCTTGGGGTCTTATTGTTTGGCTTACACATGGTGATATCTTTGGTAGGTTCATGAATTTGCTTATGACATTGTTAGTTTCTTCTTTGTGCTTCTGAAACTGTGTATTGTTTTTTAAATTTATGGAACGATTTATGTGGTTTCAGGAAAGCTTTCCAGAAAATCCAATGAATCCAATAAATTTAAAAAACCTTTTGATTGGTTACTTGTTTGGCTTACGCATACTGATGTTTCTGGTAGGATCATGAATTTTCTTATGAAATTTCTAGACATTGCTTGTGCCTCTGAAATTGTGTGTTTTGTTTTCAAGAAGGATTTGTATAGTTTCAAGAAGGATTTGTGTAGGTTCAGGAAAGCTTTCTAGAAAATTCGGTGTTAAATTTTTTTTTAATATGTTTTACTTGGTTACGCACCTTGTTCGGAAACTCGCTATGCGCTACGCGTACGGCATACTAGCGTCGTGAGTGCATATTACGTTCTTTTTCTGATAATATCTTTCTCAATTTTTAAGAATGTGTTTTTAAAACAATATAAACTCTTTAAAAATTTCAGGAAAGCCTTTCCAAATAATTTAGAAAAGCTTCCTGAATTTCTTTCTTGATCAGCTAGTAATTAACATTCAATTTAAGATGGTCATCGTAAGCTTCATAAAAATACTCATACACATTTTAGTAAGATGTTCCGAAAAACTTATATTGTCTTTCTCAATCTTTAAGAATGACTTTTTAAACAATAGAATAAATTTAAAAAATTCAGGGAAGCCTTTCCTGAGAATTTGAAAAAGTTTCCTAATTTTTTTTTTGAGCAACTAATAATTTACATACAATTTAGGATGCTCTTCCTAAATTCGTGTTAATCTTTCCTAAACGTTTAAGAAAGCTTCATAAATTATATAACTTAAAATTTCTAGATATCTTAAAATACTCATACCGATTTTAGTAAGATTTTTATAAAAGTTTATAGTGTCTTTCTCATTCTTTAAGAATGTCTTTCTAAAATAACAGAAAAACTTTTTAATATTTCAGGAAAGCCTAACCTAAAAGTTTAGAAAAACTTCCTAAATTTGTATGAATCTTTCTCAAAATTCAAGAAAGCTTCATAAATTCAAAAACTATATCATTTTTAGCTATCTAAAAATAGTCATACACATTTTAGTAAGATCTTTCTAAAAGTTTATAATGTTTTTCTCAATCTTTAATAATGTCTTTTTAAAACAATAGAATTTTTTTTTGAAAAATTTCAGGAAAACCTTTCCTAATAATTTAGAAAAACTTCATAAATTATTTTTTGATCAACTAGTAATTAACATACAATTCAGGATGGTCTTCCTAAATTCGTGTGAATATTTCCTAAGAATTCAAGAAAGCTTCATAAATTCTAAAACTTAACATTTCTAGATATCTACAAAATACTCATGCACATGTTAGTAAGATCTTTCTAAAAGTTTATAATGTCTTTCTCAATCTTTAAGAACGTGTTTTTAAAACAATATAAACTCTTTAAAATTTCAGGAAAGCCTTTCCAAATAATTTAGAAAGGCTTCCTGAAGATTTATATATTATCTGGAAGCTCATCTTAAACACGCTCCTGGCTTTCCAAATTTTATAATACATTATCTTCAATCCGGAAACTTATCTTGAACATGCTTAATGCTTTCCAAATTTTAGAATACATTATCCTGAAGATTAATATACTAAACTCTAAACCCTAAAACATCAACTCTAATCTCTAAACCCTAAACCTTAAACTTTAAAGCCTAAACCCTAAAAAATTTACCTTAGATCCTAAAACCTAAACCTTCAACCCTAAACCCTAAACCCTAAAAAAAATCAACCCTAAACCTAAACACCTAAAACATGAATTTTAAGCCATAACCCTAAAACATCTACTCTAAACCCTACACTCTAAACCTTAAACCTTAAAGTCTATCATGAAGTTTAATATTTATCTGGAAACCCATCCTGAACACGCTTATAGCTTTCCAAATTTTATAATACATTATCTTCAATCCAGAAACTCATCCTGAACACGCTCAAGACTTTCCAAATTTTAGAATACATTATCCTGAAGATTAATCTTGATTCAATGCTACTATTTATCTCTTATCATTTTTGTGATTTTTAATGGGGTTTCAAGACTTACCTTTGGTTAGAATTCTGCAAGTCGCTTTGTGCGTTTTCTTTGTCAGTTTAGTTCATCAGTCTTCTACGTTTGATGAAATTGATGGTTAATGCGTAACTCGGCTGAGAGCAACACATAATTAGAGACTAATTAGTAGAAATATAACAACAAAGGTTTACTTGAAGAAAAATGTTTTGTTTAATGTTTAGGGACCAATTTGTTTAAAAACATCTGGTATAAGCTAAAACATAAATATATTAACCGTTAATTTTGTATTATAAACACTGGAAATATCTGCACGATTCAATTTGTTTGGAAGGTTTAGTGCATGATAAGGAATCCTATCCTGAATTTTATAAGAAGAAGAAAATCATACAAAAACAAACAAAATTAAGATTTTGAGTGCAATTGAGGAAAATCTCGATTATACATGTCGTGGTTTAACCAAAATAAGAATTGTACACCATATTGGTAAGAATCAAATGAAGTTGTCTAATTTTTAAAAATAAAATTACTTAGCTCATTTCTTCATCCTCAATTATAAAAATGAAGTTATTTATTTTACTTGTTTGGCTTACGCATGTTTATATCTTTGGTAGGCTCGTGAATTTTCTTATAATATTGTTAATCTCTTGCTTGTGCTAATGCTTGTGGTTGTGAAACTTTTTAGTATTTTTAAAATTCAGGAAGGATTTATGTAGTTTCAGGAAAGCTTTCCAGAAAATTCGATGTTAACAAATTTGATTTTTCTTTTTTTTTTGGGTGTTTCCTTGTTTGGCTTAGTCATGTTATATCTTTGATAGGCTCATGAATTTTCTTATGAAATTTTTAATCTCTTACTTGTGGGTTGTACTTGTGCTTGTGAAACTGTGTAATTTTTTAAAAATTTCAGGAAGGATTTGCGTAGTTTCAGGAAAGCTTTCGAGAATTTTTGATAATAATAAATTTGACTCTTTTTCGCTTTGTGTCTTTTTTTTTTGCTTACGCCTGTTGATATCTTTGGTAAGATTTTAGTAAGATTTTTCTAAAAGTTTGTAATGTCTTTCTCAATCTTTAAGAATGTCTTTTAAAACAACATAAAAACTTTTTAAAAAATCAGGAAAGCCTAACCTAAAAGTTTAGAAAAACTTCCTAAATTTGTATGAATCTTTCTAAAAATTCAAGAAAGCTTCATAAATTCAAAAACTATATCATTTTTAGTTATCTAAAAAATAGTCATACACATTTTAGTAAGATCTTTCTAAAAATTTATAATGTATTTCTCAATATTTAATAATGTCTTTTTAAAACATTATAATTGTTTTTGAAAAATTTCAGGAAAGCCTTTCCTAAGAATTTAGAAAAGCTTCCTAAATTTTTTTTGATCAATTAGTAATTAACATACAATTTAAGATGGTCTTCCTAAATTCATGTGAATTTTTCCTAAGAATTCAAGAAAGCTTCATAAATTCTAAAACTTAACATTTCTAGATATCTTAAAATACTCATACACATATTAGTAAGATCTTTCTAAAAGTTTATAATGTCTTTCTCAATTTTAAGAATGTCTTTTTAAACCATATAAACTATTTAAAAATTTCAGGAATGCCTTTCCTAAAAGTTTAGAAAATCTTCCTAAATTTGTATGAATCTTTCTAAACATTCAAGAAAGCTTCATAAATTCAAAAACTATAACATTTTTAGTTATCTACAAATAGTCATACAAATTTTAGTAAGATCTTTCTAAAAGTTTATAAGTCTTTCTCAATCTTTATAATGCATTTTTAAAACAATAAAGAACTTTTTAAATTTTGGGAAAGTCTTCCTAAATTTCTTCAAATCTTACTAAACATTTATAAATCTTATCAGTCTATAATAAACAGACATAAATCGATTCAGCTAGTTTACTATGGAAAAAAAACAACGTACTAACACTTGCGAATAGACTACACTTTTTCAGCTGACCTTAGTTTAACATATAATCCACAACTAACATGACCATCTGGTTTTGATGAAAAAAAAAAAAAAAAAACATGACCATCTGTTAGCCATCACCTCAAGCTCGTTCAAGCAGATCAGTCTCTATAGAGAGATTAACCAACTCAGCTAGTTTCACTATCAAAACCCCATCTTTTACTAATTCAATTTCTCAAAATGCTTCGACACAACATTTGTATCAGGTCTGGTTCCATGCGCATCATCACATTCTTCTACACATAATCTCATTAAAAGACTTCATCTTTCTCTAGGTAGACACAAATATAATGGTATTCACATTGAATTTCAAAGGAGACAGTTTTTTTATCCAGGTTTCAGATATCTTCACTTCCATACCCTTCAACTTCCCATCATACTCATCAACCAATTGTTTCAACTCCACAACTTCACCTTCAAGCACACTCACCTTCTCCAAACTACCTCTCTCAAGCTCACCAACCCTCTTATCTTTCTCACTCACATCCCTCTCTAAATCATCAACACGTGAAGCCTTCTCCGCAACCTCCAACCTCAAATTACTAATCGTCGTTTCCAGCTGATAAACTTCAATAGCTATCTCATAATTCCGCTGATCCATCTGCTCCCTAGCATTCCTCGACTTAACAGCCACATCTATCTGCTTAACAAGCTCCTCAACAATCTCATGCGTACGTTTAATAACCCCATACGCAACAGAAGCCAAACCATTATACTTCTGAGACTTCGGAAGACCACCATTCCCAAAACTCTTAAAGTTACTAACTTTAACAGATATCTTCTCACTCCCAGACACCAACATATGAGAAGAACTCTCAATCTCCACTTTCAAACCATCTCTTTCCCTAACAACCTCCTTTTACACGGTCGAGGAAGCGGGAATCAGAATCGGGAGAGAAAGCGCCGTTGATTCTGTCATCAAATTCAGAAGGTATGCTTTGGGAAGTTTTCTTGGCGGCGTTAATGGTGAACGGAGAGGAGAAGCGGCGGGGGTAGTAAGAGGAGAGACGGAGCGGTGGAGACGGAGACGAGCGATGCCGGAGACGATGATGGACGATGACTGAGATGATTTACACTGGAGAGGATCGATGTTGGAGACGAGACACGAGCTGTCGTCGTTCATGATTTCAATTTTTTAAAAGAAATATATAATTAGAGAAATAAAAGGGCATAAGGGTAAATTATCCCTTTAATGAAACTTATTTTTGGGATTTTGAATCTTAGGTGCTATTTTATGGACAAAAATTTGAATTAGTGCTATTTTGGGTATTTTCTCATTTACTTTTTATTTTAAAGATTTTTAACGTTGAAAGCCTTCGGCTAAGTTTGTTACTATTGACCTAAATAGATGAAGACATGAGAAGAGAAGTGATATCTTGCATATTTCCATTGTTTTATCCATTCATCCAATTTCATTTTGATCATATAGATTATGATATAATCATTTTTAGGTTGCATTTTGCATACATGAGTCTTTTTTAGATATTGGAGTATCCTTGGAGTTCTTGAATGTGAGTAGATGCATTTGAGGTTCAAAAGAAGAGTACAGAGTGATCATTGCAGGAGAAGGTCCTGGAGCGATCTCTTAGAGTGACGTCCATAGGTAGTTCTCAGCCAGAGTGACGTCTATAGGTAGTTCTCAGCCAGAGCAACCTCCTGGAGCGACGTCCATAAGTAACTCTCAGCTAGAGCGACCTCCTGGAGCGACGTCCATAAGTAACTCTCAGCCAGAGCGACCTCCCGGAGCGAGGAACCTAGGTCACTCGCCTTTTTATCAAATCCGGAAGCCAAAACAACCTTTGGAGCGACGTATCGGAGCGACGTCCATAGGTCGCTCCCAGCCAGAGCGTTCTCCTGGAGCTACGTGGCGAGGTCACTCCACCTCATTTGCTTGGTCGAAACCTTGTATTTTCTAGGGATCTTTTTGTCATTTGTTTCATGTTTTTATACTTCCTAAACCTAAATTTAAGGACCATTTTGTAGCTTACCAGGAAGATAATCTTTGATTTAGAGGGAAAACACAAAAACCTCTTGGAAAAGTTCATCTCCTTTGAAGCATTTTGATTGTTCTTGTGATTTTTTTTTATTTCTTTGCATTATCTTCACATGATTAAGCTTGAATCTATCATGGGTTTGAGAGGAATCATGAAGATTAGTGAGTAATCCATTTTTGAATCCATGGGATAGAGAGATTAAGGGTGATTAGGCTAGAACTATGATGTTTAGTGTATATTTCTCTTATTCCTTGCTAATAGAGTATTCTTAATGCATCTTTTGGGTTGGTCTCTCAAAGGTTGAGCTTTAGGTATTTCCCACCTCACAAGGTGTTCAATGAAATGTCTGAGTCAACTCTCCTAAGGTTTTAACATACTTTACCAAAGACATTTGTTGTTAAAGGTGTTAAGAAGGCTAATAGACTTGTTCTTAAAGATTACTTTTATAACATTCAACCGAAGACATTTGATGTTTGAGTTATGTTAGTAAGTGGGTATTCATCTAGACATAGAGCTTACTTAGAGATGTGTCTAAGCTTAAGGTTAATACTTTAGTTGATCATTTGCCATCCTTAGTTCGATGTTTGATCACCCAAGGTCTAATCTCTACTCCCATGAGTTCTCCTTTCTCTTAATCAAGAAAGTTATTTTAATTATCGCTTTTCTTATTCTTAGTTATAATTTAAAACCATCATTTAATCGATTTCACTTAGATTAAGTGAGTACTTACATTCCCAGTGCTTTAAAATTCCTTAGAATTGGTTTGACAATCATTTATACTACAACATTTGTCTTATGAGCCTTGAAAACTCTTAACTTCAAATTGGCGCCGTTGCCAAATTCTGAGTAGATTTAAACATTGAGATTTAGTCACTTGCTTGAGACTAAGTCATTTTTATTTTATTTTGTCACTGATTCTTCATCTTCATTTCTCTTTGACTTTCAAGTGTATGAACTTGAGCAGCAAAGGCAACACAAATCTTGTTCCAAGAGTTCCAGATATCAGATAATTTGAAAGTGAGATAGCAAGACAGAGAAAACAAGCAGAGCAACAGGCTCAACTACAAAGGTTGGATACATATATGGATGACCCACCACACGGAGTTAATAACAACGTGGAACACCCACTAGTGCACCCACCGCGCCAAGCTCGCCCCATTGGTACCTATGACCGCCCAAACCTTCATGGCAATAGGTTGGGAATCAGAGCACCAGCTGTGGAGGCCAACAACTTTGAGGTCAAACCAAGACTCCTCAACGTGATCGAGAACAACAAGTATCATGGCTTGCCTGTAGAAGACCCATTTTATCACTTGGACAAGTTTGACAGCTACTGTGGGTTGTCAAAGACCAATGGTGTGTCTGAAGATGCCTTCAAAATCAGGCTATTCCGTTTCTCTTTGGGGGATAAGACACGTAAGTGAGAGAAGTCTCTACCCAGCGATTTTATCACCACCTAGGATGACTGCAAGAGAGAATTCTTGAAGAAGTTCTTCTCTACTTCATGAACTGCTAAGCTGAGAAATGAGATCTCAAGTTTTCAATAGAAGAACTTGGAAGGATTCAGTGAAGCCTGAGAAAGATTCAAAACCTACCAAGCTCAATGCCCACACCATGGTTTCTCAAAGGAAAGCTTGCTAAGTACATTCTACAGAGGTACTCTTCCAAAGTACAGAGCCAGATTGGATACTACTAGCAATGGGTACTTCTTGGGAAGATCTTAGGAAGATGCAGAGGAGCTTGTTGACAACATGGTAAAGAGTGACACAATCTACAATGGAGACCACGACAGAGGTAGTAGAGGTGATGACAAGTAGACAAGGAAGGAGCTAAAGGCTCTACAAGATAAGATAGACATACTCATTGCAGAAAAAGCTACTCAAGAGCAGCTGAACTTTGTTGGTAACACAAACCAAGAATTGTTTATTGTTTTAAACCTTTTCAACCTAGCTTAATTCCTTAGCAACTTACCCTTGCTACCAACTTTTATTTATTGTTTTAAACCTTTTCAACCTAGCTTAATCACTTAGGATTCTATCTTTTGTGACTCTAGTTCCTTGTGGATTTGATCCCTAAGTACTACGATTGAACCTCTTATTTGAGAGAGTAAGTCACTCCTTAGGGTTAAACATTTGAGTGACATCAAATTAGGCGCCGTTGCCGGGGAACTAAGATCACTTTTAGATTTAATCTGATTCAGTCTAGGTTATTTGTTACTTTTTATTTTTCCATCTTTTGACAAAATTTTTTTTCTTTTTCTTTTTGTCTCTTTCAGGTACATGCCCAGCAGTACTAGAAGCAACAAGGACAAGCAACTTTTGTACTCAGAAGATCCCAACAATCTGGAACGTAGCATCCGCAAAGACCTACGCTCCACATCAATCGATACCAACACCTCTTTATCGACCGATACGCGCTTTCCACCGACGATCAACAACCGTTCGTTGACCGAAACCAACACCACCTCATCGATCGACATCAACCACCGTTCTTCGACCGAGACCCTTCACTTGAAATCGATCAATACACCTCACATTACATCGAGCGATACTAACCGGCGAGACATGGTAGCGCCTATGATTTTCATACCCGTGAGAATGGAGACCTGCGTGATCAAGATGGTCACCTGCGAAATGCAGCAGGTCAGAAGCTGAATGATCAGAAGGAGGTCATTACTTAAGAAGAAACTGCACCCACAGGCATCATTCAACCTGTAGAAGAGACCAGAACTTTGGCTGATTACAACCGTCCGGATCAGTTCTATTCAAACCGATCAGCCATCCTCCCTCCAGCTATTCAGAGAGGAGATTTTGAGCTCAAGCCGCAGTACTACACACTTGAAGGAAAAATCCCTTTTTGTGGTTTGCCCCATAAGCATCCTATGGACCATCTGGAGAGGTTCGAGGATCTTGTCACCCTAGTCAAAGCAAAAGGAGTCCCTCAAGACTATCTTTTCTGCAAGCTTTTCAAGTACTCTCTATCTGGAGAAGCTTTGCAGTGGCTGAGACAACTACCACCAGGTTCCCTTACCACCTGGAGTGACATCAAGAACGCCTTCCTGCGTAATTTCTTTGATGATTCACGCGCTGAAGACTGGAGGAAGAAAATTGCTACATTCACCCAAGCCCCTGAAGAGTCATTCAAGGATACTTGGAACAGATTCAAATCCTACCAGCGAGATTGGCCACACCACGGATTCAACAAAGTGCAACTGCTCTGCACTTTCTACAGAGGCATCAGCCCAGATTTCAAAATAGCCCTTGATACAGCTAGTGATGGCAACTTCCCCACCAGGAATCCTCAGAATGCTATCAAGCTAATTGATAACTTGGCTTCCAGCAACAGCACAAGAAACACTATGCCGCAGACCACATCATCCCTTGGGAAGGAGTATGTCAATGAAGTTTAAACACAGCTAGACAACATTCAGAAGCTCCTAAACAAGCAGATCTGTTCAGTGGAAGATTCAGACATTGTTGAAGAAGATGTCAACTGGATTAGTGGAGCTGGTTTTCAGAGATCTGGTAACCAAGGAGGATACATAAACTTCACAGGCCAGAGAAGCAACTTCAACCAGAGTTCCCAGAAGCCTAACAATTTCAGCAGCAGCAACCCTAACAACAACAAAAGCTATGGAAGTGCCTTCTACTCAAATCCACACCCTCCCACCCAAGATACTAAACTGGAGGAATTGATAGACAAGATACTTGAGAGTCAGCAGAAGCTCGAGGTAAACTTCAATGGAAAGATCGATTCTGTCTACACCACCTTCACCTTGAAGATAGATGCCCTCAGTACCCATGTGAAG